AGACACCATTCAAAAGCGCAGACTTTTTTTTCTAAGGACAATTTTCCCGCCAAAAGACTTAGTTTTTTTTCGACTTTTTTTTATCTCTTTTAAAAGCGCAATATCGTAAACCAAGAAATATTTTTCCCAACCAAAAGACTTAATTTTTTTCGACTTTTTTTGGTCTCTTTTAAAAGCACAATATCTTTTACAAAGAAATATTTTTCCCGCCAAAAGACTTAGTTTTTTTTCCGACCTTTTTCCCAAATGTTTTAATCCAATACAGAATTAGTGTCAAAAGACTTTCTCGTTCACTTTTAAAGCGCGAATTTCTAATCCAAGACAATTTTGTCGACTTTCTCCTCGGCCACTCAAAAGCACAACATTTATACCGGACATTTTCCCGTCAAATTTCATTTTAATACAATCTGCTTTGCTTTGCTTCGCTCTTAGTGACTCCATGTAGCTTTCTGATCTGTCTTTGAACCTAGAAGAAAAAATCGCAAATAAAGTAAGTCATAAAGCATTTTCTGTAGATGACGTTTGAGATCAAACGATTACAGTGTACTGAGTCTGTACTGATTCCATTAGTTACAAGTAACATGAATACCAGCTTGATAAAATTACAACCCAAGATTTAATATTTTTATTGACTAATACGGATGCTATTTTGGCAATCTTCTCGTGTCCTTCAACTGCAAGCTCCAAAATATATAACACAACACCCGTACCTAGCATTTCGTAAACGGTTTCGTAGGGCAACTAAAACAATGTTTTAAGGTCATTACAAAACTTTCTCATTCTACTTCACATTTTTCAGGAGAAGCCTGCTATAGGTACATTAGTGAAAACCATCAGAATTAACCATCATAATTAATTCATAGAAGAAGAAATTTGCTTAATAATTTCACAATAAAACATTGCAATAAGCTGGAAAGTTTTAAAACCATTTTGGTTTAAAAATATTTATGAATTTTCGACGTTCGCTTAACATTATTATCAAGGCAACTGAGTGAATAAAATGGGTTCAAATTTAAATATAAACTAAGAATTCCTAAGAGAGACGAATGTAAAGAAAACAATGGTTAAAAAATGCTAAAAAATGTACAAGTATATGATACAACAAAACTTATTATTCAATAAAAAGTTTAGCATGAACTGAGTCTGTGTATTTAACACAGGGTTCAGTTCCTTAATGTCAAATAGCAACTCAAAAACGAAACAATCAAACTTCGATCTGCATTTCTTCAAAATATAAAATTGTTTGTTATCTAAGGCAGACTTTGTTAGTCCATGCTCCTCTATGTGCCGATTGAGGAGTATTTGTGTTCGTTGAAACATGCGTTGGTGTAAATGCCGGATTCAAAGATCAGTAATCACCTAATTCAGTCAAAAGCCAAATGCAGATTTTGAGCGCCAACATTGATGTTCACATTTCAACTAAATTGTTTTCTTTGAATTTGTCTCTCTTAGGAATTCCTAGTTTATATTTAAATTCAAACCCATTTTATTCACTCAGCTGACTTGATAATGACGTTAAGCAAACATCGGAATGTCGTCATTATTTTTAAACCAAAATGGTTTTAAAATTTTCCATTAAGGAACAAAGATTGGTCCTCTGATCACAGGTTCTTGGTCCCTCAATAAGAAAAAATAGTCTCCCAGGGGAATTTGGAAGAAGATAGGACTTTTAGAGTCCCCAGGAAGCGTTTAATCATATACCGTAAACTGCCTCTTATAAGCCCTCCCTTCAAATAAAAGCCCTCCTCAAGTTTCAGATGAAACGAAATTAATCTACTACGATGTTTAAATGCTAAATTAAAAACTAGTACATATGAAAAACATATTCCAATCAACACTGGTGTAGCCCATTTCGAAACAGATTTTCATTCCACTTAATAAGCCTCTCCCACGATATAAGCCCCTCCATTTACAAGCCCATCCAAGGCCCCTTACCAAGTTGTATGAGCCCAGGGATTATAAGTGACAGTTTATGGTACATAGACAGGGCCTTACTAGGAGATATACCTTTCACTACAAAAGACTGAAACTCGCCCACATTTAACACTCACCATTTGCTATATGATAAAGATGAGGTCCTTTCCAATCTTTTTGTTGGTTTGCTGTTACACTGTTAATGAAATCAGTCATTTAGAAACTGTTGGAAGAAGCAAGATACATGTAAATTACTTGCCAAAAATTTCTGGCAGATTTCAATTTCAGACAAAAAATGTTTCTGAAGCAAAATCGTCTGAAATTTTTAAATGTCAAAAATTTTAAGAGTGTGAAATTTTTGCAGTACAGGATAAAACTTTTAAGTAGCTCCAAAGCTCTTAGTTCTGTTTATGGATTGAGTTCTAGTTCAGACACCGCTTGAGATATGCAACAGATTGATAGAATTTGAATTGTTTTCTTGTTGGTGTATTTGGCAGTGTGGTCAACCTTGTGTGTGAGGTAAAACTTTCATTTTCACAAATCATGTTTTGTAGGCACAAATTTACTTTGCTATGCTTCAGCAAAATGTCGAAATTTGTCTGAAATGAGAAAAAAAAGTGTCAAAGTAAATGTCCAAAATAAAACGTCTCTCATTTTGATGTAAGTAATTAATATATATCAATCCTCTCTGTCTTGTTTTTAGGGATGATAGTATTACACTGCAGAAATGAATGGAGTCAAGGTCTGAAATTTCTGGCTGCCCGCTAACTTTATAGTTGGCATTGTTGCAGATAAAAACATACTATAAATCGTACTTAAAAGAAAAATCTTTGCTTAGCACTGATGAATTATGGTGAGACAGGGCAGGAAATGAACTTTTTTCCCAGGAGCCATTTGACTCCTTTATATTTAAAAATGGTTGCCAACTCTGAATAGTTAGTTGAGAACTTGTCCAAAGAGAAATTTTTATTAACCAAGGCAAAAACTAGTCAGCCGTTGGCAGCCGTTGTTTGGGGTTGTCACACAACATTCATTTGAGGACCCTCTTAATTGTGAGATGACCCCAAATGATTGCTGCTAAGTACACTAGGTAAAAACCGAACTAAAAACATAAAATAAAAAGTTAAAATAGTAACCATCGTTCAAACTGTCATTCATGGCTTGGTGTCAATCCAGAACAGTTACAGGTAAGATACTCAATAAATTTTCCATGAATGATCTCTTGTCGCATGCGTGCTCAATTGAATCGGTCACCAGTGATGGATCTAGGGGAGGGGCCCGGGACCCAGGGCAAGCAAAACACCCCCCCCCCCCCCCCCCCCC